CAAACATCAATCAGAGTCTTCTTTTCCAATGGAATTGAAGGTGAAAGATTGACCAAATAACATGCAGTGGGGGCTGCTTCAGCTCAAAATCTATGATGTAAAGATGCCTCAGATAGCATACAACGAGCATTGTTAATAATGATGCGATTCATCCGTTCAGCTACACTGTTTTGTAGCGGCGTATGAGGAATGGTGTAGTGACGAACAATACCTTCGGATTTGCAAAATGATTCAAACTTCTTTGAACAAAATTCCATCTCATTATCAGTCCTTAACCTTTTAAATTTCTTCCCAGTTTGATTTTCAATCATAATCTTCCATTCTTTAAAGGCAGAAAACGTGTTAGACTTGTTTTTAAGAAAATAAGGCCATACCTTTCGGGAGTAGAAATCGATTATCGTCAACATATAAATTGCACCACCAAGAGATTTGTGTTGAGAAGGACCCCACAAATCAGAATGTATGTAATCTAAAATTCCTTTGGTGGTGTGCTTGCCGGTATTGAACTTTACCCGCTTAGATTTACCGAAAACGCAATGTTCGCAAAATTCCAGCTTGCCTTTGTTGAAACCATCAAGTAGACCCCTTTTATTTAGTTCGTACAATCCAAGTTCACTCATATTTCCTAACTGACAATGCCATATTTTAATTGCATCGGTTTCTGAAGACGTAGTAGACAAAACTAGACTAAAATTGGAAGCAGTTTCGGGATTAACCGAAGAACCGTGTTTGTGATCGATTTTGCATTTTGTTAGATCCTTTGGCGCTGATTTGTCATGAGAATCAGGTAGATGATTATTAGGAGTCATAGGAGTAGCGGAAGCAGTGATAGTTGTACCCCGAACATAGTACAATCCATTTGATTTTCACCAATCGGCTTTAATAACAACTAAAGAACCTTTTGAGATCTTTAGCATACTATCTCCACCTGTAAATTTGAAACCTTTGTTGTCAAAGACCCTACGTGATATAAGGTTTCTTTTCATATTTGGTATGTAACGAACAACCGTCAATATATGAGTAGTACCATCAAACATCTTGATACGAACGGAGCCGGTTCCTTCAATTTTGCATTGTGAATTGTCAAAACCAAGAACGGACCCAACATTGAGAATTGGTTCAAAAATGGAAAACCGATCTTTATGTGGGAACATATGGTATGTGCAAGCCGAGTCAAGAATCCATTCATCATGAATATCGGAAACCCCGGCGATAACTGCAAGAACTTCACCGTCAGAATTGTTGTTGTCACGCGCATAATTAGCCGATTTGTCTTCATCTTTCTTTTCCCCGTTTCTATTTTCTTTATTTTTCAACTTGTAACACTCTGAAATATCATGAACATCTTTGTGACAATACCTACAATTTTTGTGTTCGCCTTTGCCTCGAGATTTGGAACGCCCTTTCTTTCCACGAACGCCCCTATCTTTGGAATGACCCTGAACCGATAACCCATCAGCTTGTGAACTACTTGCCCCATTTGAAGATACCATATGTTTCATCTTTTCTTGTGAATACAAAGCTTCATAAACTTCATGTAACGTAAGGGTGTCGCGACTATAAAGAATTGTATCTCTTATGTTTGAGTAAGAGCTCGGAAGAGAGCATAAAAGAATCAAACCAAGGTCTTCTTCATCATACTTAATTTCCAAAGTCGCTAAATCGGATACGATCTATTTAAAATCAAAGATGTAGTTAAGTAAAGTACCTCCCTCTTGAAGCTTATGTTGAAAAAGCTTTTGCTTTAAATGCATCTTACTCGTGAGATCTTTTGACATGCATATTGACTCGAGCTTTAACCAAACGGCAGCTGCAGTTTTTTCATTTAGTACTTCTTGAAGAATGTTATTGTGGAGATGTAACCAGATTTGTGCGAGGGCTTTACAATTCTTCTTTATCTCATCGGGAGTCCAAGTAGCTTGAGGTTTATTTCCAAAGGAATCTAATGCATCGTCGTAATCCGCTTGAACCAAAAAATCCCGCATCTTCACTTGCCAAAGTGAAAAACGAGTGCCACGATCTAAAAGTGGAAGATCGCATTTGACGATAGCCATAGATTAATCGATTTTATACCCTTATTTTCTGGATTAAGAAAAATAATTCAAAGAAATAGGTTGAAATAATCAATTGTTTTAATGGTTTAAAACCAACAATCGATTAAATTAAAGATATGAATGCTAGTATGGGCTAAGTAAAAGCAAATTAAAATGGCGAGTGGGTTTTGTGGGCTAAAATAAGATGCTTTTAAGATGTTTAAAAGGAGACAACTTATGGGTTTAATAAAAACGAGGGTTTAATAAAGAGAGAGAAAAAAACGATGTGATTTAAAGAAAAAAGGAAAACGAGGGCTTCAAGAAGGCAAGAATGGCCAGGGCAAGAACGATTGATTAACTTTGATGGTTTATAGATCGTCACAGAAAAAACAACTTATGAAGAATCGCCAAGAAAAAAAATCGTCTGGGGTTCAAAACGACTAACAGGTCTGTTCAATCAGCAACCAGTATGTATTTGATCCTTAACCTATCTCTGATACCACTTGTTATAATCTAAACATAAACATGAACGGAATTGAACACCGGGTTTATAATGGAAAACCCAAAAATGGGAAAACCCACTTTGGAAGAACACTATATTATTCTCAATGTTGAAAATGGTTACAAATGTGTAGAACGGGAATGAAAAGGATAATCCATAAAGATGATATGATATCCTATATATAGGACTAACTAAAACGAATCCTAATCCAACTCTTTTACTTATTGGCAAGGAAACAAAATAACTCAACTAGTATAGGTGTCAAATTCTTGGGCACTAAGTTGAAAATTGTTCGGAGCATATCCAACATATATATATATATATATATATATATATATATATATATATATATATATATATAGAGAGAGAGAGAGAGAGAGAGGGGGAGAGAGGTAAGGTAGAGAGAGAGGTGCGGAAAAAACTAGGCGTTTTGGCTTAGGCGTGGTTCAAACCGCATGGTGGATACGGTGTTCACTGTGTGTGACATGACAAACCATAAGTGCTACCACATCCTCTATGAAAAGTATACTTAAAGCCTATTGCAATATCTAGTTGGCATTAATCAAACACTTTGTCAAGTAATAAAGATTAGGGGATCTCACATAACATCATATTTTATTTGGCATGTCATAGCTATCATATATGTTAATTTAATTTTGGAACGTTTGTAAATCTTCCCTAATAAAAGAAAACATTTTTGCCACATGTCATCACCTAATTCAATATGCCACATGACATTTTTCTATTTTTTTTCAGTTTCCTTTAATTCCAGTTGACAATTAGTGGTTTTTTTTGGCTTTTTAGTAAATCTAAAATATATTGCATTTTAAAGAAATTTAAAGAAAGTTGACTCTCTCCTTCAAGTCTCACGTAATCAGTCAATGAATGTATTAAATTAAAATAAATCTTCCTAATTTTCAAACACAATTTTCGGCAATCCATTTCAGTTTCACGATTATTTGCAAAAACGTTCGAAACATCGATTCATTCACAGCTCAATTTTGATATACTTTCCATATTCATTTTTGTAAATTATGTATAACTACAATCTCATTCATCTGTCATATTTTCTTGAGAGATTGAGTTTCTAGCATCAAGTTCATCATCACAGACTGATCCGCTAACATCTACTACATCAGGTCAGCAATCCTTTTTATTTTTAATGATTAGTTCTTTTCTAAATCATTTGATTCTTTTTTAGGTGAACATTTTATGTATTCCTCTTATCTTTTCCATTCTTTGGTTGAATTGATGTGTCTGGACTAATGACATCACCGAAAATGGCATAAACTATTGTATAAAAGTAATCGACAATATATTTTTCTTGTGGTTATCTATTTTCTTCATGTAATATGGCTCTCCTACTATTTTGTGTGTTTGAAGCCAATTGTTTTTTCATTGACTGTTAATTAAGGTCTAAGCTATAAGAATTAATTTGGTATGTTTTTTTGTGGTCCACCAACTAAATGCTATAAGAATTAACCTTTGTGTACAAGAATTTCAAACAAAAGAGGGACAAAAAACGGATCTGGGGAAAGGTTGCTTCTAGTGAAATCAAAAGGACTTAAGTTCACAAAGGTAACTAACAGGAAAAACAATTTGATAAAAATATTACCTAAAATGCCCCTGGGACTATTTTTTGTCCATAGATTCTAAATTACTCTTACAATAAAGTCCACTACCTAAATAATTACTCACCCAAATTACCCTCCCTTGATTGGTCATAAAATTATGTTACTTTGTGGACAGCTTCTTTTATATAATGCTTTCATGTTGTTTTTGTGTGTTCCATTTACTACTTGCGTTCATAATATTATGCTAAAAGATCATCATGCTAATATGTATGTTAAGAACATTGATGCTAGAGAGGAGGAAAGAAAAATTATGCTTCCATTGTTTTTTATGAATAAAACTGAAAACACGAAGAATAAGTTCCCAATATTAGATGAAAACACCAACTTTTTTCATTCTTTTTAAAAAAAAAACAAGGAAACTCATATTTTTTGTGAATTTTACAAAGAATAATTTCCAACAGTTTTCTGGAGCTACTTGTAATCAGTCTATGAGTTTGTTTACTGTTCAATGTCAAGTGTTGGTAGATGCGTTTTTCATGGTATGAGACAAGGGTAGCAGGGCATGTATAATCTACCCTTTTTAATTAAATTGAATATGCTTCCGTGTCTCGGTTAATTTAAATATTATAGAGTAAATTACACAAATGGTCCCTGTGGTGTAGGGTAATTTATGCCCTTGATCCCTAACTTATTTTTTTAACTCGGACCGTCCCTATAATTTAATTTTGTTGCATTGTTGGTCCCTGATTAATGTAAAAAGACTATTTTGCCCTTAATATATATAATTTTTTAATTTCTAACTTTTTATATATGATTTTAAATATAAAAAAAAGAAAAATATGTGTTCCCTTTATTAACCTATGCAGCAGATAGGAAACGTCTTCTCCTTCACGAACACCACCACCCATCCCTCTTCCCTCCTCCTTTCTCACCGCCCACCTGCATCTCTACCTCTCCCATTTCTACCTTCCCCCCTCCCTTATCACACAAACATGCATCCATTTCGACATATCGGTGAAGAAAGGGGTTGGGGAAACAACTGACGTCGGTCACCACACCTGAAATTGATTCCGATATCTCGTCGTCGGCCACCACCACACCTGTTAGGATCTCGAACTTGATAGCCTCCTCATCGTATCTTCATGTTCTCATCGGAAACCTATTTCTTGTCCTTCCCTCGTCATCCATGGATCTGAAACCAAATTGTTCATTATTGACATCGACATCCTAATATAGATATGAAACCAAATCAATGGAATTGAGTGAAAAACCCTTCTTTACCTGTGATTTTAGTTTTTCTAGTTTTGTGATTGGGTATTTCATATATTCTATGATTTCAGTTTTTGCTAGAGTTTTGTGGGTGAAGGACCTTGTTCTTTTAGGTATTTTCCTTGGTATTCGTACATTTAGGTTGTTTGAATAGAGAAGTAGCTATCAAATGTAGAAGATTCTGATGGAATTTGACTAATAGTCGATACTCTGCTTCTCATACTTAAGTACATAGATAGTGAATTAAACTGGTTATTTCATGAAGTTGTGTTTGCTCATCAAAAGTCAAAGATGGGTGTTTTCTTAGGTCACAATGAAAGATAAGGTTGGTATTAAAGATGATACTTTGTTTCACACACATGAAATTCAAGTAGTAGGGTCAGTGTTTTGGTTTTTTTTGTCAAATCATTTTCAAGAAGTGTTTTGGTAAAATTAAATTCACTACAACCTATTTCGAGGAATTGATGACCCCCTTTCACCTTCAAAATACAAGTTGAAGCCTAGTTTTAGGATGGACTGATGTTCATTACTATATTCCTGCTCAGATTAAATTACTACAACCTATTTCGAGGAATTGATGACCCCTGCTCAAATTAAATTCACTACAACCTATTTCAGGAACTGATGTTCGTTACTATATTCCTGCTCAGATTAATGGAAAACACCAAGATTACCATGATTAGTGACTTGGCTCTATAACAAGATGACTACACCATTAAGGTCTGAATCATATGCGTATGTGCAAACAAACTGCATGGAATCAACAGATCCGTATGATTGGTATTAATGGACGAAAGGGTATTCATATTTTTTTTGTTTTTTTTTAATTATATTAAATTATATATATTATGTAAAAATTATTTGTATGTATAGTATATCTTATTAATTAATTTTTTTCTTTTATTTGAAGGGCACCAAAATTGAATGTAATGTGGATAAACCATTTGCATCACTACAAGGAAAATCTTTGGTAGAATATGATGATTTCTACATTCATAAACCCAAAACTCTATTTCCAGTATACCACAGAGGTTATTAAATGCAATGATTTTTGTGGGCCACAAAATTCTTTTGCTCTTATTGACTTCCAACAACTTCAAGCTAATGCAATCGAATCGAACATGTTATTTGGTTAGTATATTCCCTTCCACCCATTCGTAATAGATTAAATTATCTAAATTTAATTTTTTTCGACCATAACAAATACATATTTAAACTTTTCCTTGTCTATAATATAGATATTATAGGAAACGTTTTCCAATGTTTTCCATTGGAACCTGCAAAAGACAAACAGGAATAGAAAATCACACTTAAAATGGAGGATTTAGAGTAGGTTTCATTTTTTATACCTATATTTGTATTGGTGTTGATTATGATGGCATGTGCGGAATAAGAAAAGATCTAGTGAATCATCATGTAAACTTAAGAACACAAGGAGTAAATAAATCTGTGTAAGCTTATATTAGATCTAGAAAGGATATACAAATGAGTACAATACAAATTTCCCTCTCTAGTCTAACACTCCAAAATGATCATTACTAAATATGAGTGTCACTCACTTCCTATTTATAGGAAAGACAACTCATTTACACATCAATAAGGGTAAGCCACATCCAAGCGTGACTTTGCACCCTAACATTCTCCCCCTCAAAGTTAGGATTGGATGTCCAGGCTTCAGTCTCCAACGAGCTAGCGCGATCAAGACCAAACTCCCCGTCGAAGTAACGCCGGTCTTCAAATCCGCAAATGAATATCCGACAAAATCCGCTTCGAATACCCATCATTATCCCCCTTTTTATAATCAAAAAATGATTATAAAACCCATTAAGGGTGAGAACCGCCGAGAAATAAACTTCACAATACTCCCCCTTGATGTGTACCAAAAATGAATCACCAAAAATCTTGCACGGAAAAACAATCACGAAAAAGCCTCAAAAAAATTCCAAATTCGTGAAATTTTTTGACTTTTTGGGTGAAAGTTGCAAGATTTTCCAAAATCCAGGTAAAAACTGTCACTAACAGAATTCTACAGGGATCCGTTGCGCCAAAAACAGCTTAATATGCGAAACTCTACCCCATTTGCGAAACTGAGCATAAAGCGTAAATTCGCACAAACTGCAGGGACCAGAAATGAACATTCTTCAATTTCTCAGCTTTGGAACACCTTTTTCGAAATTGGGTATAAACTGCCAAACTTTTGAAACTGCAGGTGCTACTTTCGAAACTACTGCACACTTCTTCAAACTTTCGAAAGTTTAGTACTTATTTCGAAAATGGATTTAAAGTGCCATGTCTTCGAAAGTTCAGAGACTAATTTCGAAACTTGTTTGCTTTCTTCCCGATTCGTTAACCAGTCGCGAATGACACAAAGAAACCTTGGCTTTTTGTTAACATCACCAAAGCATCGATATCAAAATCTTTGAAATTAACTCTTCAAAATCTTCGTTATCAAAAATTAATTTTTCGCCTTTAGTGTTTAAAGCAAAACATCGATATCAGCCTTCTGTAAGTTTGTAACACCACTCGATATCAACATTTGTTTGCTTCGTTTTTCGGTCAACAACACAAATTAAGCCATCTAGTCTTCAAACCGTTGCTAACGAATCCTTTAAGATCGTCAAGTATCGATTCCAAAAACATCGTAACACAAAATCAAGTCTTCCCACATGAATCGAAATCATCCAGTAAACCATAATCGATCATTTAACCCTTTGACATTAACAATCAATTCCCAGTTCGTTCTTTGAACAACGCAAATTATCGACTATCAAATATTCAAATCATCATTCACTCTTTTGATGTGAATCGAACTCAATACCAACCACATCAAAAACATATACAGACACTTCGATTATTAACTTCAGGATATCAAAATTCATCGAGTAGCAATTAGGCATTCAAAGCGTTCGATTGCAGTTATCAATCCAAAACAGCAATATCAAATTATCGACTCCTGATTCCATATCACCAATCCAAAACAATTCGTCGTCAATTGACTTCCCAAAACCATTCAAAACATTCGACTGATAATCTCCAAACACGCCAAACTCAATATCGACTTTCAGGAATTGAAATTGAAACAAAATCATCACATTCGTTACCAATCGACTTCTCAAGGCTATCAATCATAAATCGAATCATTGTCCTTTCACGATTCATTTCCAAATCAACTATTGATATCAATAACCAAGTATCAACCAAAATCAACATCAATACATCAAGACTTTGAAATCGATTTCACATAAGGACCCTCCAACCCTTCGAAATCGATCAGTCTCCAAGATATCGATACCATGTAAAGGACCTTCAAACCCAAATCGAATTCACCATAATTCGATTTCACCAAACGAACAGAAGGTACATAAGACGAATTCGATGTCATGCAAAAAGTTTTGACCATTAAAGTCATTCTAATACGAGTTTGACTCCAATCGATTCCAACAGTTCTCAATTCATTCCCGTCGGCTTCAAATACTAGTAAAATTCGATCTCCAATCTCTCAATTAAACCAATCGAAATCATACAATTCCATCTTTCGACTATGAAGTTTTAATTTTCGACTCTTGAACATACGATTCCACATTCAAACTCGAATTCCTCAGTCAGTTTTGAGTTTTGTTACTGAACCACGAACAAAAACTGACTTTGATTTATAATTTGACTTTCGATTTCAAGCAGATCCAGATCGACACACAAATCAAATGACTATCATATGAAATCGAGAAC